AGGACGGGAGTCCTTACAGAGACGTGTTCATCCCCTGGACGCTGCAATGCCCTGATGGAAAGCAGGTGTCCTCAGGGGGTGGTTTCAGCAGGTTCAGCGCTAGATATTTCCATCTGAGGTGTCCTCACTGCCAAACTTGAACATGGGTTTTGAGCCCACCCACATGCACCTCCTCCCTCCTCTGAGGCTGGATGAACTCAAGGGCATAAAATGCTTCCCCATCCCACCCCTTGGGGGAGCACACTGGGGATCCTTTCTTTTCCTTTCAGCTACATGAGTTCTACGAAATCTACAAGAAGTAGAAAATACACATAATCTCTAAACTGTTGCAAGTATAAAGAAAAACTATGGAAGGCTTCCCAATCCTTTTCACATATTAGCATTACCTTAACACCAAACTTAGAGAAAGATAACACAAAAAGGAAAACCCTGTCCAATTGGACTGCAAGGAGATCAAACCAGTCCCTCCTAAAGGAAATCAACCTTGGATTTTCATTGGAAGGACTGATGCTGAAGCTGAAGCTCCAAAACTTTGGCCACCTGATGCAAAGAACTGACTCATTAGAAAAGACCCTGATGGTGGAAAAGATTGTGGGCAGGAGGAGAAGGGGATGACAGAGGATGACACGGTTGAATGGCATCACCAACTCAATGGACATGAGTTTGAGTAAACTCCAGGAGTTGGTGATGGACAGGGAGGCCTGGAGTGCTGCAGTCCATGGGGTCACTAAGTCAGACATGACTTAGCAACTGAACAACAATTGATACAAAAATCCTAGTAAATATCTGGGAAATAAAATCCAAGAGTATATTATAATAATAATATATCACAACCAAGTAGAGCTTAGCCCAAATATATGAAGATGGTTCACTATTAGAAAACTGACCACGCTAATTCAGAAAAGATGTATTTCAACAAACTCAGAGAAAGCTCTTCGTAGCTCAAGCTCTATTCCTAATTTTATACTTAGCAAACTGGGAGTGGATATTACAAATGTAATACTTAATGGTGAACCATTAGAATCATTCCCATTAAAGTCTGAAAAGAGACTTTCTATATTGTATTATTGATCGTAGGCAATGCGGTGAGATAGGAAATTAAAGTGAGAATTGCAAACATCAGAGATGGAAAGACCATAGGGCCAACACGACTGTCTACCGAGTAAATCCAAGAGAAACAGTAAGCGATAAAGACTAACCAGAGTTTTCAGCAAGATGACCAGATATAAGGATTTTTTAAAAAAATGAAAACAACCATATGAAACAGCTTTTAGTCTCATTATAAATCAAATAAATGTGAATTAAAACAATGCCTTACAAATCATTATTAATTTTTAAAATTCAGTGGTACAATCTTACAGGAAGTGATTTGGCAACAAGAACTAGAAAAAGATTCATCCTTTGACTTCTCCTGAAACTCTATCCTAAGGAAATATTCTAAGACATGTAATACCTGAAGAAGTTTATAGACTATTTTTACAGAAAATTAGTGGGAAAATAATCTTTTGTCCAAAAAGAGAGGGAAGGGACTAGCTAAAGAATCACATATCAACTTAAACAAATGTTGTTTTTATCACTAAAAAATTCTTTGAGTTCTTTGTAACAACTCTGAAAATGTATGAAATAGTAATAAGTGAAAATAAAGACAGTTTTAATGCTTGCTGTCACAACTACATGAAAATGAATTTGGAGAAAAATGTTCCAGGAAGTAAAGTACAGTCAAGAGCTCAGATTCTTTTTTTCTACCCATGCCACATGGCATGTGGGACTTTAGCTCCCTGACCAGGTATTGAACCTTCACTCCCTACATTGGAAGGGTAGAGTCTTAACCACTGGACTGCCAGGGAAGCCACAAGAAGTTATACTCTTAAATTGGATGTGTGACTTCAAATCCTGGGGTTACCACTTCTTAGCTGAAAGACTTTGGCCAGATTATCTAATTTGCCTCATTTTCATCACCTGTAAAGAGTTAATCCCTGCAAAGCAACAGGGGTATCGATATAGATACAGTAAAACCACCAACAACTGTTAACTGATGTGAATGCAATGAAGTGCCAGTAGGCACAGTGTTAGGGTAATGAGATTATGTGTTGTTTTCATTCCTGTTTTCTCAATTTTCCATGTTATTATCTTTGTTTTATAATGAAAGTAGATATTTAAATTTTTTTAAGATTTTTTTATGTGAACCATTTTTTAAGTCTTTATTGAATTTATTACAATACTCCTTCTGTTTTGTTTTGGTTTTTTGGGCGCAAAGCATGTGAGATCTCAGCTCCCTGCCCAGGGATGAAACCCACATGCCCTATATTGGAAGGCAGCATATTAACCACCGGAACACCAGGCAAGTCCCAGATATTTCAATATTTACACGTGTATTTTAAAAAGAGCCTCATTTCTAGTCTTAGCTCATCACTCGTCTTGCCTGTGATCCCATTTCCACTCCCTCCTGCCTATCTAGGGTCCGGTTCCGCTCATCACCTCGTTGGAGTTATCTCAAGCTCCCCTCCTGATTCACTAAATAAAGGTGTCCCTAAATGAATCTTTACTCCATTCCCTTCGCTGTCACATTTCTTCAGGGGAAAAAAAAAGTCACAATACTTTTCTCTAATTCTGATTTCACTCTTCAGTATATTGGACTCTGAATTCTAACAATGTCGCTAGTTCCCTTAACATCCAAAGCAGGTTTATCTTTATTCTATTTCCCCTATCAAAGACGTTTTTAACACTGCTGGTCACTTTCTCCTTGAAGCTCTCTTCCCTATCCTTTCACATTTAGAAAGGAGGATGTGAAAGGCAGGAGGAAGCAGGGGTTTTAGAATTGCCTGTATCGGAAACCGGAAGCTGGTCTCGGCTCCTACGCGAGGTCGGGTCTGAGGCCATAGACTGCAGAACCCATCCAGAAAGGAGAAGCAGGCACGGTCAAGTGAGAAGAGAGTGGCTGGGGAAACCCAACAAGGGAACCAGAGAGTAAGGGGGTCAGAGGCAAAAGAACGCCCTGAGCCCCAAGAGGAACAAAAGTCTGCAGACGCAAAAAGAGAAAATTCTGCAGAATCCCTGTGACCTGTTCAGCGAAACTCTGTTCTCCGATCTCTCCTTTATTCCCGGAACATTTTAATGATGCTCCCTTTCTGTTCCTCAATACCACCCTCTTCAACTCACCTTTTTATTCTATCCCACTCACTCATCCAGCCCTCCTTCTATTTATCAAACATATGTTTAGTGAATGGCCACTGTAAGCTGGGCATTGTGATATGCTTTGAAGCTATGCGATAAATACGAGAAAATCCTTGTCCTCAAGAACTCACATAGTTGGGACATCTCTGGTGATTCAGTGGTTAAGACTCCACGCTTCCATTGGAGGAGGAGCAGGTTCAATCCCTGGTAGGGGAACTAAGATCCCACATGCCACATGGCACGGCCAAAATGTTTAAAAAATTGAAAAATAAAATAATTCTAGCTCACATTTCTTTTTCTGACCATCTCACGTGTTCCCCAAGGTTCCTGCCTAGACCTTCTCGTCCCACCTGCACCCAGAGCTCCGGCTGTCTACCTGGCTGTTTCATCTGGTACCGTGCAGACGTATCACACTCAGGAGGCCAAGCTCCAGGTGTTCATCAGATACTCATGGGCCACCAAACCAGAAGATGTCTCATTATCAACAGAGAAACTCCTAAGTTGTCCATCACCTTCCCTGTCTTTCACCACATAGATCCACAACTGGATGGCAATTCTTAACAATACCATCTCCTAAAAACTTCTCAGAATGGCTCTCTCCTATCTCTTCTTTCTAACTCTGCATTAATTTCAGGCCATCATTACCCTGAAATAGCCTTCTAACTATCCAATATCTTCCCCTTCCAGTCCACCATTATTATTGATAACATATATATCTTTTCAAAAGGCATATTGTATTTATTTCCTCCCTCATGAAGATCCACCATTGCTCTCTACCCATACATTTTACTCCCGCATTGTGGACCTTTCGATTTCCTCTTCATCTCCTACCGCTATGCTGGCTAAACAGAATTGCTTATACCTCCCAACTCAAGAAGTTTTGGCCATGCTGTATGCCGTTCTTGGCCCAAGATGCCTCAACCCTTTTTTCCATCTGACAAATACTGACACATTTTTTAAGGCATCAGTTCAGCTACTCAGTCATGTTCAACTGACCCCATGGACTGCAGCACACCAGGCTTCCTGGTCCATCGTCAGCTCCTGGAGCTTGCTCAAACTCATGTCCATCAAGTCAGTGATGTCATCCAACCAACTCAACCTCTGTCATCCCTTCTCCTCCACCTTCTGTCTTTCCCAGCATCAGGGTCTTTTCCAGTGAGTCAGTTCTTCGCATCAGGTGGCCAAACTATTAGAGCTTCAGCTTCAGCATCAGTCTCTCTAATGAATATTCAGGACTGATTTCCTTTAGGATGGACAGGTTTGATCTCCTTGCAGTCCATGCAGGATCTTAATTCTGCAACCTGGGATTGAACCCATGCCCCCGCACTGGGATCGCAGAGTCTTAACCACTGGACCGCCAGGGAAGTCCCCTGACACCTTTCTATATAAGCTCAATCACTACTGGCTCTGTAAAGACTTTCCCGTCTCCTCCAAACAAAACCGTCTCAATTTTCCACTGGGCTCCATGTTTACAGTGCACCTCTATTAAGGAAGAATCACATTTGTTTTCTATTCACTTAGACATCTATATAATATTTGTTTAGTTATCGTCTTCAACATTGGAGTGACAACCTAAACCCACAGAGTTAGGAACCATGCGCTTTTCATTTGTCAGTGCCCTGGACCCAGCATAATGGTCACAAGTCTTAACTGAAAGAATAAATAAGTCACAGAATAATGAATGGAAAAAGAAAAATGTTTCTGAAAAAAGTTACATGAATACTAGGATACAACATGTACTGCAGAAACAAGATTGAAAAGATGCAGACTGAGGGATGGAATGTAAGTCAAAGAAGAAAGGGGGAAGGTGTTAGGAAAAAACTTACACTTGGCCAGCAAGGCATCCGATCAAAAAATTTCCCAGAGTATATGGGTCTGATGAGATCTGGAGGTTCTACTCCTGGTTCAGCGTCCCTTTGCTCCTCAGGTTGTTGGGCCAGCTGGCACTCAGAAGGTTCTATCACCAAGCCCATTTGAGGCTCTGGAGGCTCCGTTTCAGCCAGCTCCCCTGGGCGGGTGAGCCCCATGTCCACCTCCACAGGAGGCTCCGTCTCTGCACTGGGCTTCATCACCACACAGGTGGACTCTCCTCCCAGTTCCCCTCTACCCTTCATCCCCAGAGCAGGCAGCTTGCCCACTGATGCCCCGAACCCTTCAGGGTCACCAGTCACAGGACATCTCCTGCCCCCTGAAGCCTGTGGACTTCCACACTCCCGGCCCAGCAGAGGCTGTGTTACCCTTCCAGGACAATGCCCTGCCAGAAAACGCTCCTTTTCTAAACCCACTCTTCCGGGCAAGGCACCCAGAGGAGGTTTTGTTTCCTTTGAGGCTGAGATCCTGTTGTCTCCTAAATTACTCCCATCCATGAAAGTCCTAGAAATATTGTGTCTTTTCAATCTCAGTTCAAGCCCCTTGCTCGAAGGAGATCTTATTTCTGGTGATGCCATCCTCTCCTCATATGTCTTACTACATGGGAAATCTTTTCCTAAGCCCACTCTGAGCCCCAGCTCCGTGGGAGATGTTCCCGTGATGACTCTCCTCTCCTCCAAGTCATTCTTTCCTTCCGGGGCGAGTTCCACCTCCATGCTCAGGGGAGATTTCCTCCCAGACACCCCCATTCCCAGTCCAAGGGCACTCATCTCTGAGGGGTAAGCTGTACCGGGCTGAAGGGAAACTCCTAACCTCTTGGAGGGCCCCAACCCTTTGGGGGACGGCACTCTCAGAAAAGAGCACACCTCCACCCTGAGTCCCTGCCCCTTCAACACCTAGCGGGGGTCACACGAAAGAGGAGACGAGGTCTGTTTACCCGGTTACCTGGGAAACGGGGGCGGGGCTTGGAGCGGAGCGCTGCGCGCGAGCCACGCCCATCTCTTCCCGCCTCTCTCTTCCCCATCTCCTCTTTCTTACTCCGTTATCCTTGCCTACTCTCTTACCCTCTCCTTCCACCCCTCTTTAGTAGACTGGAGGGCAAGAAAATTACTTGAAATATGTGGTTCTGGGCTCTAGAGCAAATGATGCCCAACTTCTCTTTAGTTTCCCAAACAAGGCGGTCCACTCAGAGTGTGTTCGGCCAGGGGCCTCCTCCCTGCTGTGGGCCTGTTAACTTCACTGGTGTTCAAGGAATAAATAACCCTCTCTCTGGTGGTGAGCACCAGTTTTTCGTCCTGGCTTGTGAAAGTACCTGCAAACTGCATTTTTTTCAGTGCTTAGAACTCCTTTTAAAAAATCTGTGAAGTTATGTTTGGCAGCTGCGGTAAGGACCATCTTAAAAGTGTGACTTACACGTCAGTAACTATACTTTAAAGAGCATGTCAAGTAAATATATTAAAGCTTGGAATGAGTTATACAGTAATGCCTGATGGATTTTTAAATTTATTTAGTGATCTTTGGCTGTGCTGGGTCTCCGTCGAGCACGGCCTTTCTCCAGGTGCAGTGAGTGGGGTCTGCTCTCCAGTGGCGATGCGAGGGCGTCTCATTGCGTTGCGAGGGCTGCTCTTGTAGCAGAGCACGGGCTCCAGGGCTCAGCAGCTGTGGCTCAGGCTCAGCCTCCCAGAGGCATGTAGGATCTTCCGGATCAGGGATCGAACCTGGTGTCATCTGCAATGGCAGATGGACTCCCAACCACTGGACCACCAGAGAAGCCCCAAATATTGGATTTTTAAAATAATGTGGCAGACTCAAGCTTACGTATGGGATTTTCTTTAAACTCTTTCAAGTTTTAATGAATGTGTATTTGAATATTTTTCATGCTCTACATAAATTGGGGGCTTCCCTGGTGGCTCTGCTGGTAAGAATCTGCCCACAATTCAAGAGACCTGGGTTCGATCCTTGGGTCGAGAAGATCCTCTGGAGAAGGAAATGGCAACCTACTCCAGTACTTTTGCCTGGGAAATCCGATGGACAGAGGAGCCTGGTGCACTACAGTCCACGGGGTCCCAAAGGAATCGAACATGACTTTTCAACTAAACAACCACAATTCAGTTCAGTTCAGTTCAGTTGATCAGTTGTGTCCTACTGTTTGCAACCCCATGAACTGCAGCACACCAGGCCTCCCTGTCCATCACCAACTCCTGGAATTTACCCAGACTCATGTCCATTGAGTTGGTGATGCCATCCAACCATCTCATCCTCTGTCATCCTCTTCTCCTCCTGCCCTCAATCTTTCCCAGCATCAGGGTCTTTTCCAATGAGTTAGCTCTTCACATCAGGTGGCCAAAGTGTTGGAGTTTCAGCTTCAGCATCATTCCTTCCAATGAACACCCAGGACTGATCTCCTTTAGGATGGATTGGTTGGATCTCCTTGCAGTCCAAGGGACTCTCAAGAGTCTTCTCCAACACCACAGTTCAAAAGCATCAATTCTTTGGCACTCAGCTTAATCTATACTCCAACTCTCACATCCATACATGACCACTGGAAAACCATAGCCTTGACTAGACAGACCTTTGTTGACAAAGTGATGTCTCTGCTTTTTAATATGCTGTCTAGGTTGGTCATAACTTTCCTTCCAAGGAGTAAGCGTCTTTTAATTTCATGGCTGCAATCACCATCTGCAGTGAATTTGGAGCCCAAAAAAATAAAGTCAGCCACCATTTCCACTGTTTCCCCATCTATTTGCATGAAGTGATAGGACCAGATGCCATGATCTTAGTTTTCTGAACATTGAGTCTTAAGCCAACTCTTTCACTCTCCTCTCTCACTTTCATCAAGTGGTCCTTTAGTTCCTCTTCACTTTCTGCCATAAGGGTGGTGTCATCTGCATATCTGAGGTTATTGATATTTCTCCTGGCAATCTTGATTCCAGCTTGTGCTTCCTCCAGCCCAACGTTTCTCATGTACTCTGCATATAAGTTAAATAAGCAGGGTGACAATACACAGCCTTGACGTACTCCTTTTCCTATTTGGAACCACTCTGTGTTCCATGTCCAGTTCTAACTGTTGCTTCCTGACCTGCATACAGGTTTCTCAAGAGGCAGGTCAGGTGGTCTGGTATTCCCATCTCTTTCAGAATTTTCCACAGTACAGTAAGGGATAGATAACCATCAAGTAAACCAATGAATGAGGTCATTTCACAAGATGAGTGAAGAGTGTTATGAAGAAAATGGAACACTGTGATATAGAGGGAAGCTGCTTTAGAATCAGCAGGTTTAGCAATCCCTTTGGCGGGTGACATTGAGCTGAGAGGCTGCAGGATGCCCTGCAAACACACGAGCTTTTGAAACCTGACCAGCTCAGGTTCCCGCTTTTTCTCATTGCCTTGCCACCAGGCCTACAATTCCTTCTGTCAGAATTACCTTTCGTTTTTTCTCCAAACTATCCCAGTTAAAAGCAAACGTTACCATTCATCACTATGCAAAGAGTCATTCTTCAGCTACACAATCAAGGGAAGACAGATTTCCTGGAGAAGAAGGAAGAAGACATGGAGTATTGTGGGTGGTTGAGAGATGCAAGGTACCCGGGAATTCTCCAGTCCATGCTTACAAGATTTGGGGGCAAAGGCAGCCCTTGAATGCTGTGCTGAGTTCTGTATGACTGTATTTAGGCTTCATCCATTTTGTAGCTTCCTTAAGAAATTTTGTCAACTGATAGGATCTTACATTTGATACAAAAATGTATCCAATTATCTGTCCTCCTCAGGTATCCTGAGTTAGGAAAAGACACAGCACACTGTGAGTGGTAGTACAAGGGCAAAGCTTTACTCTGGCATTTCCAGCTCTCCAAAATTACCACTGCATCTTAGAAGTACCAGCCACTGAGCAGCACTTCCCCAGTCAAACATTGTGGCTAAACTATAAAATACTATGGAATGTATTCATGAATGAAGTGAGGTGTCCTTTGCTTTTTTTTGGCCATGGCCTGTGGCTTGCTGGTCTTAGTTCCCAGACCATTGAACATGGGCCCCAGTAGTGACTGGATGACTGGAAATGCCAGGAAATTCCCTCATGAAGGAGGTGAGTTAATAGACAAAATCAGTAAAAAGAAATAAATAAGGAAGCTATAGCATAGAACAATGATGGGAATTCTTTATCAATGAATAAATCTCGGCGTCCATGTATTACCTTCGAGGTCTTCTTAAGTCAGATGTTCACCATTCTAAAGGAGCTCCTTGGCGGTCCAGTGGTTAGGACTTGGTGCTTTCACTGTCAAGGGCCAGGTTTGATTTCTGGTTGGGGAACTAAGATCCCACAAGCCACATGGCACTGCCAAAAAAAAGTAATGAAGTTCACAAATATTTTGGTGGTCCCTATTATATCAATCAAAGTTCCTCTGGGAGGAATTGAAATCACAAATAAATTATGGCCCTGGCCCTTAAGAACCTTAAAATCCTAATGGGAATGAAAGCCTAAGGAGGAAAGGCTAGGCAGACACTTTCTAACTATAAAATTAGGCAGATAGATATCAGAACTATTATAGAGAGTAAAGTATCATGAAATTACAGGAATAAGATCACTCCAGTAGAAGAATCCTCAGATGCCATCCAGAGGAGCCTGCAACCTGGCCAAGATGAGACTTTCAGTGATGAGAGGGCATGGTGTTCCAGACGCAGAGAAAAAAGTGATCAAAGACGCCAAAATGAAAAATGGCGACACTGTGGATCACAGAGTAGATTGGTATGATTAGGGCACAAGGCAAGTAGTGGGTGGGGGGCAGGACTTAGAAATAGAATGAAAGAAACATGGGCTGGGATCAGAGTTGAAGAACTTTGCTAAACTCTGTTTAGCAACTGAATGTTTCTGAGTAGGGGCAACTGGCCAAGGGGTAAAGAATGGATTGAAAAGGCAGGAGTGTGCATTAACTCCAGTTTATATGAATACTATCATGGCCAAGTCTTTGGGAATATAGTTCAGACTTGGGGATTAGAGAATTTTGGGTGATAGAATGGACAATGAAGCGCTGAAAATGATTCTGCTTTTTCAGGTCTAGGTGACTGAGAGACTGTGAATACCAGTCATCAAGCAGAAGCAGGTTTGGGATGCATAGCTCTCGTTTTAGACATACTGTTGACTTGCCAAAATTAATATGACATATCCTATTTCCTGATTCTTCCCGGGACTGTTCAACAGGTATCACCATGACTAATGCACCATATTGGAACCACCCCTGGGGATAAAGTGCCAGAGACACCATTTACACGTGACACATAATGCTCTCAGGGTTAGTAACTGGGGAGCTGATCTGAGAGACTGGCTGCTCAAGGATTCAAATTACCTTCATTGCAAAATGTTGCCTGAGATCCCACAGGATACCTTAGCCCAAGTACATGCGTGCGTGTGTGCATGCTTAGTCAGTCAGTCGTTTGTGACTCTTTGTGATCTCATGGACTGTAGCCTACCAGGCTCCTCTGTCCATGGAATTTTCTAGGCAAGAATATTGGAGTGAGTTACCATTTCCTACTCCAGGGGATCTCTAAAATAAATATGAATACAATCCAGAGAGTTTATCATTAATAAATGAAACAAATACAATAGTATGATTACTGCAAATGATTCTATATGAAAATACCATGAAGTTATAGTTCACAGAAAATGGAAACAATGATTGACCTTACCCCTATTATGTGAAAAATGTATCCCCAAAAATGCAGAGATCAATGTATGTAAGAATGGCAAAAATCTACAAGTAGGACACTACCGTGAGTTAGTAAAATAGAGTAACAGACATATCATGCATTTGTGGTTGGAGGGCAGTGTGGAAAAATGTATCAGAATTACAAAGTATGTAACTTTTAACAGCAATCAACTTGGAGAAATTTGTTACAGAAATACATGAGAAATGACTATATATTAAATTATTCACTGCAGCACTTTGTTGTTCAGTTATTCAGTAGTGTCTGACTCTTTGTGACCCCATGGACCACAGCATGCCAGGCCTCCCTGTCTTTCAACATCTCTCGGAGCTTGCTCAAGCTCATGCCCATCAAGTCAGTGATGCCATCCAGCCATCTCATCCTCTGTCGTTCCCTTCTCCTCCTGCCTTCAATCTTTCCCAGCATCAGGGTCTTTCCCAATGAGTTGCCTCTTCACATCAGGTGGCCAGAGTACTGGAGCTCAGCTTCAGCATCAGTCCTTCCAATGAATATTCAGGGTTGCTTTCCTTTAGGATGGACTGGTTTGATCTCCTTGCAGTCCAAGGGACTCTCAAGAGTCTTCTCCAACACCACAGTTCAAAAGCATCAATTCTTTGGCATTCAGCCTATTTTATGGTCCAACTCTCACATCCATACATGACTACTGGAAAAACCATAGCTTTGGCTATATGGACCTGCCAGCAAAGCGATGTCTCTGCTTTTTAATACACTGTCTAGGTATTAGATTGTCTTCCAAGGAGCTTCCAAGAAGCAAGCATCTTTGGTTTCATGGCTTCTGTCACAATCCTCGGTGATTTTGAGCCTAAGAAAATAAAATCTGTCACTGTTTACCTTGTTTCCCCATCTATTTGCCATGAAGTGATGGAACCAGATGCCATGATCTTATTTTTTGAACGTTGAGCTTTAAGCCAACTTTTTCACTCTCCTCTTTGACTTTCATCAAGAGGTTCTTTAGTTCCTATTCGCTTTCTGCTGTACGGGTGGTGTCATCTGCTTATCTGAGGTTATTGATACTTCTCCTGGTAATCTTGATTCCAATTTGTGCTTCATCATTCACTGCAGCACTAACACCCAAAAATATAAAATTGTGCAAATCTGAAACTAGAATTGATAAAACTATTGATATGTTTCATTCAAGAGACTGCTGATATAGCCAAGAAAAATGAGGACTTTTCATAAAATGATTCGAAAAATCAGTGTATTTTCCAAGATGGCCACAATATTTCACACATATTCTTGTTAAAACATGACACTGGCTTTCTTTCCTCAAATCTGTACAAGCCTATGACTTGAGCATCACTGATACTATCTCTGTGAAATTCTGGGGTAGTTCATAAAAAGCCACCCAGCCTCTGCCTGGTATCTTGGAGACATTCATGCTTGAACCCAGTGCCATGTTGTGAGGAACCCAGACCAGGAGGCAGGCCACATGCAGGTATTCTGGCCGACAGCCCCAGCTGAGCACCCAGATATGCTGAGGTGACTCGAGCCCCAGGACTGACCCCCTGCCCTGACCTCAGAAAATCACTTAAGCCCACTCAACACCCAGAACCAAGAGACAATAATTGTTTTAAGTGACTTAAGCTTTGGAGTCATTTGTTTCTGCACAATAGATAACTGGGACAGTAATAAAGAGAAAAAAGTATATAACAGTTAGTCTGATATATTTTAAATTGCATGAAATGGAGAAAATATATAAAGTTGAATATAACAGTAACTTTGCAAAAACAAAGTTAACGCTACCTCTGGGGAAAAGAACTGGAAAAAGAACTAAGAAGATAGGAGTGAGGCTTTTCAACATAAATCATTTGAATTTTGATTCACAAGAACAAACCAATGACAAAATAAAAATGTGAAACGTGTGGATGGCATAAAAATGAACACAGTGGTGCTAACTTTGGAACGTGGCTTGAACTTTTATTTAAAAATACTTTCATCTTATTTTCCTTAAAAATCAATACATAAGGGAGTACTGTATCTGTCAAGTACCACACATTTTATAATAGAATGCTTACATCATACATATCCTAACCCTAAACTACCAATTCCAGAATACAGGTGGCACTGAAGCAAGATTTGTCCTTAATCCCAGCTGTCAGGCAATCAATAGTGATGACCTCACAACAGGGCTATAAATAATAAACAGCAAACTGAAAAAAACATCCCTCAGCCTGTGGAAAAATCGATTTAACACTCTACCAAATTCCAAAAGGATTTTTGTTTGGTTTCAGATGCCCAGACTGCCTGGTGTCTGAGATTGTAGTGAAACAGTTTTTAACTTTTTATTTTATATTGGAGTACAGCCAATTAACATTGTTTGTGATAGTTTCAAGTGGGACTCAGCCATACATATACGTGTATCCATTCTCCCCAGAGTGGCTCCTCAGGCGTCACAGTGGTGAAGAATCCACCTGCCAATGCAGGAGACGCAAGAAACTCGTATTTGATCCCCGGGTCCAGAAGAGGCCCTGGAGTAGGAAATGGCAACCTACTCCAGTATCCTTGCCTGGAACATTCCATGGAGAGAGAAGCCTGGCAGGTTACAGCCCCTGGAGTTTCAAAAAGCCTGACAGGACTCAATGGCGAACACGCCTTCTCCTCCAAACTCCCCTCCCAGCGGGGCTGCATTTTACATTGAGCAGAGCTCCCTGGACTACACAGTAGGTTCCTGTTGGTTATGCGTTTAAAATACAGCAGTTGTACATGTCCATTCCAAACTCCCTGTCCCCTCCCTCCAACCTTCCCTCCTGGCAAACATGTTAGTTCCCTAACTAACTTCCTGCAAAGGAAGCTAATGAATGTCTTGGGTTCTTGAACCGAACTGTGCTTAAGAACTCAGGTTCCGAGCCAGTCTGCAATTTAAAGACGATTTCAGCACCTACTCCGCCGCAATTCTGGACAAGTTACACAATCTCCGTGCCTCGAATTCTTTACCAGTTAAACAGGCAGGGCACATTCACGAATTCCACACATGACTTAAGACTTCCAGGCTGTCAGTCACTGTGCCAGACAGCAGCAAGACCACTCTGTGGCGGTCATATTCCAACGGGGGAAGTCGGAATAGTCTCAGAGGGAAAGCCTCCTAGCGTAGGAAGAAAAATGGATTGATTCCTGTGAAGAATTTAGTACAAACAGTAACCCATGACAGGAAATTCTCTGTAAACGCTACCTATTATTTCATAACGTGCCCTTTTCCACCCCAAACTGGTAAAACTCTCGGGAGAAAAAGGTTATTATGGAAGACCTCCCAGCCTAAAGACACCTCTGGGTCACACCCTCCTCCCCGGAGTAAACGCCCCTCACCAGCCTTCACCCACCCATCCACCCCCAAGGTCGCGCGTCAGGAGCCTCTCTCTGCCAGAAAAGTCTGCCGAGCTAGCAGAGTCGGTGGTGCAGGGTAAGGGGCGGGGGACACCGCGCCAACAGTGACAGCCCTACTTCTGCCCGAGCTCTCCAGGGTGCCCCCGAGAGCAGAGCAGCTAAAGAACCCCTCGCTGCCGTTCCCAGCCCTCGGCCTGAAGGCGCCCCAAACCGCCAGGCGGACAACAATGGCGCGGGCGCTGGAGGCGCTGCGGGCGCTGGAGGCGCTGCGCGCGCAGGGGCCGCCGGGGGTGGGAGGCGGCCTGCGGCTGGACCCGCCCCGCGGCGGGCGGGGTCACGTGACCCCCAGAGGCCCCGCCCCGCCAGGAAGGGCTCTGGGAGCCGGCGGGGGCGCAGACGGAGCGGGCGGGCGGGCGGGCGACGGCGGAAGTGACGGAGGGGCGCGCCTCGCTACGTGCGGCGACGTGGCGGCGAGGCCGGCGCCCGGCGGCGGAAGTGGCTCTCGCGCTGGGACTGGAGTGTTTGTGTTTTGGTTTGCGGAGGAGCCGGCGGCGGGCCGGGGGGAGGAGGGGGAGGAGGAAGAATCAGTGGGAGCTCGAGCGCCGGGCGGCGGCTGCGGAGGAGGAGGAGGAGGAGAAAGGAAAGAGGAAGGCGGAGCGGAGAGAGGCGGGGACGGAGCCCGACGGGGGCGGCACCGCGGCGCGATCCCCGCACCGTCCAGTCTGAGGGGAGCGGGGCGACTGGAGGACGCGCCGCCGCCGCTTCAGGCCCCGCTTGGGTTACGCCTGGAACTTGCAGCAGGAGCTTCGGCGCCGCCGCTCCGCGCGCTGCGAGCCCAGGTAGCCTCGCCGGCCTTCCGCCCGCGAAGCGGGTCAGAGCCCCGCTGGTCCGCGGGCCCCGCCGTCACAGGTGCCCCCAGCCTTCCTGCTCGCGCCGGGGCCCCAGCCGGAGAGCCGCCGGACGTGGTGTCTCGGCCCGGCGGCTCCGGTGGCCCTCTGCAGGGGCCCCGGAGGCCAGGGTTTGAGGACCGGCCGAGGGAACGGCGGGTGTCACCCCGTTCCCTTCTCAAGATGGCGCCGCGAGAGCGGCCCGGAGGCCGCGGCGCCGCTGCCCTGTCCCGGCAGCTGGTTGGGGGGGTCAGCAGCCGGAGTCGGGCCGGGTTCGGGGAAGAAGCAGGAGGGATGCGCGCGGGCCGGCGGACCTGCCTGCTGGCCGATCGGAGCTGCTGCCTGTGGCTCCTGTGTTCCCCGAGGAGGGACCTGGGCCTCTGGCAGGTGTGAATTCGGGGAGCTCCGCCCACCCCGGCTCCCCAAGCCGGGTAATGGAGGGAGGCGGCGGCCCGGGGAGCCCGGCTGTCTAGGGACTCTTGTCTCCGCTCTGGAAGGTGGTGAACCGCGGCCTGAAAACAACCCGACACAGCTAGGCCGCCGAAGCCCTCAGACGGTAGAGCCCTTTGAACGTGCTCTGCTGTTCGCCTCCCTGCAAACTGGCTGCTCTCTGAAGACTTGCAGACTTGTTAAGCTCTGAACGTCATAATTCACATTGGTTTTTGTCTTTTGCTGAAGTGGAGCCTAAGTGTCCAATCAGTTGCCTTTCATATAACTAGTCGGGGAAAACAACCACATGGACACCACTGCGATAATTCTTGGCAGTTCAGAAACTTAATTCTTAATATAAAATGGGGATCATAAGAGCTTCTTAAGGTTGCTGTAAGCCTAATTCGTGGAATGGTGATTGGCATAAAATAAATGCCTAGTAAATGTTAGCTTCTTTTATGAATTCAATTTTAATCAAAGAGCACCCAGAAGGACTTTTAACTACAGAATAGCAGTTGTTTTCAAAAAATTTAAAATGCATTTTCTGCAAAATCTTTGGTTTTGGAAAACAAAAGTTTGTGGAATACAAATGAATATTACAGAATATGACTTTTAACTTCAGTGTAATGCTAACTATATTCATAATTAGATTTAGTTAATATTTTTGTTTGAGGCCTTTGGAGGGAACTATAACCAAAGCTAAATTTTCTTTTTCCCTTTAATGATCATATGATGTTTTCCCTGAACTTTCGGGAGCACTATAGGAATTCAGAGCATGTTGTCCTTGATGAGTAACTCTGCTGTTTTGTAGGTAATAGTTGGGAAGTGTATCAGTTGCTGTTGTGTGTAATGTGTGAAGGTTTGTTGGTACATTTTCAGTTTACATGACATTTTGTTGATATTTGGTCATTATTTCATCAAAGGGGCACTTTAATTGCCTATTTTCAATCACTGCTATGTGTTGACCACTGTATCAGAAATATTTTACGTATATATTCTCTTAATTCTCACAGCAGTTATGAAAATTGGATATTCTGGAGTAGAGAGCTTGAAATGAAAGCACTTGTTCCAACAGAAATTAGTATAGCTATATCGAGTTAGATCCCCAAATGTAGTATGTTTGGAAGTGGTGGGAGGATAGATGTGAGATTGGAGCATTTTTTTAATCGCAGAAAATTCTTTATGCAGAAGTAGGAAGAATAATGAACCCATCAACTAGCTTCAGTTATCTTGTTTTATTTATACCCCCAGTGTTTGGGAGCAACTCAGATCTATTATTTCATTTGTAAATATTTTAGGTGCAGTATGTATTACTGAAAGATAAGAGGTCTTCAACACTGCCGTTTCGATAAAGTAGAGGTGATTTTATTGTCTTGGATGTATGGTCTCATAGATACGTTTATTAATGAGTTCACTGTTAAGAGAGATTCTTGTATAAACTCATTTCATGGGCAAGACAAATTTCTTAATGAGGTACCTAAATGAAATCCAACAGTGACTTGAGAAGGAGAATCATCATATTTAATGTTACTAGCACGTGGTCAGATTTTGATTAAAAGTAGAAGAGAGCTATTATAATTGATTTGTGAGTAGCTTGGAAAATAATTTTTTAAAAGTTTGCTGATTACTTTGAGAATTATCATTATTAAATGATAAAAGAAGACTTAGAAGTTTCGCTTTAGGCTAGTTTTTTGTAAGTGTGTTAAATAGAAAATAATGACACATTTAATTGTTAGCCCCAAGACTACAAAAGAGTATAAGTAAATAAGACACTAATTCACTCACCATCCGGAGAACCGCTGTTGACACTTCTGTGAATGATGTATTTTAGAACATGAGAATACAGTATTAAATCCTTTAGCCACCAGAAATAGATCTACTTAAAATATTTGTTGCTCCAAAGATAACCATTCAATAAAAAGCATGTGCCACTTAAAAGGAGCCTTCCAATAATAATGGCTGACTTTTATTGAACTTAGTGTTTTAAGCTCTGTTCTAAGATTTTTCCCTTAATTGACTTAATTTTACTCAAAACCGTTTTAACCTAAGTAATTGAGTTCCAGAACCAGAACTAGTCACCTTTCAGGTTGCATGGGTTGAAACTCAGCTCTGTTGAAGCTCTGTCACAGTAACTGTGTGACCTCAGTCAAGTTACCTAACCTTTCTGTGCCTGTTTCCTTATTTTTTAAGGATTGGAATAGGCAACTTTATAAGATTGTTGAGTGGCTATGTTAAATAATTAAAACCATCTGGCACAAAATTGAGTCTTTAATAAAGGTTAGGTTTAAAATGTTTACAGAGCCTTAAGAATTACAGTATGATTTTAGGCTCAGAGCTCGTGTCTTTACTTATTAATCAAGGCAGTGAATTAAATGACAGTCAGTGTCCAATAGAGGTTATAATTGTCATGTATTAATGTGTTACAGGCAAAATTTTAAAGTGATAATATGAGGTTTGCTTTGTTTTGCTGATTTGTATTCTTAATTACTTCATATTTGTTTTTTTACAGGTTTCTTTACCTCCAGAAAGAAAAGAATTGACACCTTACATCCTGGAAGTTCATTTAAGAAACTGAAATTAGGGACTTCTTTCAAATTTGGACATGGCTAATCGAGGAGCAACAAGACCCAACGGGCCAAATACTGGAAATAAAATATGCCAGTTCAAACTAGTACTTCTGGGAGAATCTGCTGTTGGCAAATCGAGCCTTGTGCTTCGGTTTGTGAAGGGCCAGTTTCATGAATTTCAAGAGAGCACCATCGGGGGTGAGAGTTTCTTTTGCCCTTTCTTCATTTAATGGACTCATACATTGGCAGTTCTGACTGTATGATGATGGGCGCCTAGACAGGTCATAGAGGGAGCAAAAGAGCTGGGCTGCAGACTCAGGCTTTAAAGCTTGATTTTTGATAAGATAATGTGTTTTAATATTTTGACTTCCTGGCTATCTCCAAGATGATAAACTACAGATGCAAATATAAGTAGAATCAGTGTCCCAAGTCTCAGATTTGATGGGTATCTTTCTTGATAATGTTTAAAACCATTTTCAAATTATCACATCTGCTGAATTGTGTTGGCTTTAGAATGAATGGTGAAAATAGTAAAAGTAAAGAGTAAAAGAGTTACCATTAAAATTCTAAATAACTGGACTATTTACAAATTACACTGATTTGCAAAATTAGTTACATTTTATTAAACATGTTTGTTTAAGAATGTTCCTAGCGTGAGGGAAGAGAAGAAGTGAGTGATTAATGAAGAGGGACATGAAAGGGAAATGGGACCTGGAGAGAAAGTGAAAGGAAAGGGGAAAGAGGTGGCACCAAGACTGCTTACAGGGACGGTGTTCAGACAGAGGGGAAGGAAGGGGCGGGGCCAAGAGGAGATAGCCAGCAGTGCCATACTGCGAAAAGAAGATAAGTGAGATCCCTGAACTTAGATCTGTAGCTGGGTATAGCAGTGGGGCAAAGCCCTTTTGGTTCTGCTTAATGTGTCAGATGAAGCTTTTGAATTAGGTAATGTCAGAGGAATCACACAGTTTTAAGATTCACACTGCTTTGCAAGAGGTGTGTTATAAGCAGGACCATATTTTTTCAGGTGTTCACGAATATATTTTTAACCTTTAAAAAGTCAAATACTTTTTTTTTACTTTTGAAATACATAAGGCAGATACTCTTTGGCATGTAGCAACTTCTTGGGAGTCCAGCTTTCAGAAGCACAACTTATGCAGTGCATTGAGTATATGATGTCAAATAAATACACTGAGAATTATATTTATGATTTCAGATTATCCCTTTAACATAAATTACAGAACTCTGCTATCTCCTGACTTTTCTATAGGAAATATAGTAGATAAGTGATATTTCCTATTTAATAGACTAGCAATATAACAAGTGACAGCCAACCCCCAGTGTTTGTATATCATGTTACAGTGTGATCCCATTTTAGTGTTAATACTTTATGTTTTTTATAATGAATGAGCATCAGAAATACAGCCCTTTACATGAGTTTTTTATTTTGATTCAGAAATCTTCATATCTTTAAAAATTGTGATGAACAGTGTATCACATTGTTTGTTGTTGCCTTGTTAATATATCTGTGTATATGTGGTTTAGTAGTGAAATATTATCTCTCAAGCTTTAGCCTCCTTCAGAAAACAAATTGGACCAAAGGTAAGTCCACATAGTATATTAGTCACTCAGCTGTGTCTGGCTCTTTGTGTTCCCATGGGCTGTACCCCACCAGGCTTCTCTATCAGTGGAATTCTCCAGGCAAGAATCAAGAGTGGGTAGCCATTTCTTTCTTCAGGAGGTCTTCCCGACCCAGGCATTGAACCCAGGTCTCCTGAATTGCAGGCAGATTCTTTACCAACTGAGCCACCAGGTACGCCCAGCCCATATGGTAGGAAAAATTTTAAAGACTTTCGAGATTGTGGCCACCCAACTTAACCTGGTGCAAAAGGTTAATTATTATAACTACTTTTGGCAAGTGACTGTTGCTTGCAGTGTTTGCCACAATACAGGTGCATTGTAGGCTAAACACCTGGGCCAAAATACGTTTGGGACTTGCTATATTCTTACCCTCCCTGCCTTCACAGTACATATTAAAATAACAAAAGCAGTGAAGTACTATAGTAAAGAACTTAATTCCCAGGAACTGTAACCCAAGAGTAGAATTGTTGTTTTTGTTATGGATGCTCCCAGTTACCTTCTAAGAGTAGTTTTTCCTAATGACCTCTCAAGAAGGACATTTAAAAGAAAAGTTTAACCCCACGTTAATGCATTGTAAATAGACACATCCTCTGATATGTGTGTATGAGTGTGTGTATATAATCTCCATTTCCATTTAATACCAATTAGATTGTTTACATTTCATTATTGAAGTTGTCAAAAGGTTTTCATTCTAACACGTAAAACTTCTAATACTTTGTGCTTGTACAAATTGAGTCTGGCTTTTTTAACCACCTTTAG